TCAGAGGGAGAAGCAGACTCCCTGCCGAGCAGGGAGTCCGATGAGGGACTCGATCCCGGGACTCCAGGATCATGACCTGAGCCAAAGGCAGTCGCTTAACCAACTGAGCCACCCAGGCGCCCCTACTGGAAGTAAAATTTAAAACTTAATAAAGTTTTTTAAAAAATGAACAAAGGACTTGAATAGATATTTTTCCAAAAAAGATATACAGATGGCCAATAAGCACATGCAAAGATACTTGACATCACTAATCATTAGGAAAATGCAAATCAAAGTCACAATTAGATACCACTTCACACCCATTATGACACCTACCATCAAAAACACATAAAATAACAAGTGTTGGTGAGGGTAAAGAGAAATTAGAACTTTTGGGCACTGCCTACGGGAATGTAACATGGTGCAGCCACTATGAGAAATAGTATAGCAGTTCCCCCAAAATATTAAAAATAGAATGACCATCTGACCCAGCAATTCCACTTCTGAGTATATACCCCAAAGAACTGAAAGCAGAGACAGGAAGAGATCTTTGTACACCCACGTTCACAGCAGCATTATTCACAATGGCCAAAAGGTAGAAGTGACCCAAAGGTCCACCGACAGATCAATGGAAAACAAAATGTAGTATATTCATACAATGGAATATTATTCAGCCTTAAAAAGGAAGGAAATTCTGACACATATTATATAACATGGGTCAACCTTGAGGATATTCTGCTAAGTGAAATAATCCAGACACAAAAGGACAGATATGATATGATTCCACTTACATGAGGTACCTGGAGTAGTGAAATTCATGGACACAGAAAATAGAATGGTGGTTGCCAGGGGCTGGGAGGTGGGGGGAAGGAGGGGAAGGGGACGGTTTAATGGGTACAGAGTTTCAGTTCTGCAAGATGAGAAAAGTTCTGTGGATGGCTGGTGGTGAGGGTTGCCCAACAATGTGACTATATTGAAAGCCGCTGAACTGTACACTTAAAAAAGGATTAAAATGGTAAATTGAAGACAAGTATATTTTACCCCACATGCACACACACAAAAGGCAAGAGCAGAGGCAAGGGGAAGAAAGAGGCGGGTCCCTGCAAACGTGGGTGAAAACAGACTTGTGAGTCAAGTGATTTTCAAGCACTTTGGATGAACTTGTGAAGAATCATTTTACGAGGCCCTTGATTGATCTGTTTTTGTTCATCCGCATCCTCATCGATCAGCTTTGCTCGGGCACACTTCCATTATTATTCACATCACTTTCTTTTTTGTTGACCTCTAAATCTTGATGGTTCCCGAAGAAGCCCTCTTTGAGACTCTCCTTGTCTGCTTGTACCCACGTGGCCATGTCAGCCTCCTGTCTTCACATCTCATTCTGGTGTGTAAGCTTCCTATAAATTAACATCTCACGCCCGACCTCTCTGCCAAGCTGCTTCTCGAACTACGGCTGTCTGCTGCACATCCCTGCCGCATCTCAAATTCAGTTGGCCCAAACCGGACTCATCATTGAGCCCAAACAGACTCGATCTGTTGAGTCTCCGGTTTCTATGGAAGGCTCCATCATTTTTCTGGTGCCTCAAGGGTGAGAACATTCAACACTCTTGAATCTCCCTGCCTTCTCCCTGCCTTCCAGATCTGTTCAGTCGCCAGTCCCGCTGTGTGGTCCATCTGTGTCCACCATGTCCCGTACAGGTGCCCTTCTTTCCCTGTGTGGGACCTCTGCCTAGATCAGCCCTCCACCCCTTCCTGGGTGAACGGCTGCAACTGCCTGCCAGCCTCTTGGCCTCCCATCTCTGCTGGTGGGCTTGCCACGGCCGTGCTCGGAGTGCCGCTGTGAACCAGCCAGAGGAAAGCCATTGTGGGGAGACCAGGCCTGTTCCCCGCCCTAGGGCATCAGACATCTGGATGGGGCTCGCTGCAAAGAGGAGCAGGACACCGGACAAATCACGAAGTCCCGAGTGGCCTGTGGCTACAAAACAGCCTGAGGAGGGGAGGCTGGGTGAGTGGATGAGGTGTGGCAGCTAGATAGAGTCTCAAAGTCAGGCAGATCTTGCAGGTCGGGGGGATGAGCCCGCCTGGGAGCAGAAGCCAAGCCAGCAGTGGAGGGAGGAGGGGCAGCAGGCCCATCCCCCGGAGGCAGTCGGCAAGAACGAGGCAGGGGCCAGGTCTGCAGCCTGGCGGTGTGGTGTATGGACCCCTCAGCCCGGAATGTGCCCCCTCCTCACGACTTCCCCACCCCGACTCCTACCCATCCTTAAAAACTCTGGAGCAGATGCCCCCTCCCTCCTGAAGCTGTCATTCTGCCCTGCAGTGATATGCTTTCTTGGGCTTCTGGAGCTTTCTATTTCACCTCCTGTCCTGCACTCACCACTTTCTACCTCGGACTATAGTTCCTTACGTTGCCAATTTACTAGACTAAAGCTTTTTGTGGGCAATGTTCAAGTCCGAGGCTGGCCCAGTCATGGGGCTCAATCTAGTCCTTGAGTTCATGCACCAGTGAATGGACTGTAGCTTCTCTTTGTTTCTCTGAATCAGCTGGTCAGTAGCTGTCACCCTCCATGGGGCTGCTCACTTCACTGTGATCACCCCAAGTGCTAACCAGTGATTTCCAGTCCTTCGTCCCCAGGGCGCTTGAACCCCTGTGTTCTGGGAGGCCACATGAGTAGTGGTGGGCAATGAACTGGGAAGGAAAGGGACATGTGTCTCCCCTGGACCACAGTGTTGAGGCCAATAGGAGAGGCTTCAGAGCACTCGTTTCCCTCGGGCGTGGCAACGAGCCATGTTTGGGATGTTGCCTGTTCTTGTCATCCTGAGTCCCACCCCCACCCCGGCCGAACAAATCCAATGAGCAGAGCTCCCCCTTGTTGACCTGTGACGGGCACGAGCACGAATGAGAAGTAAGCCTTTGTTGTTCTCAGCCACTGAAGTCTGAAGGTTGTTAGGCTGCCTAACCCAGCCCGCCAGCCAGACACATTTACCCTGTCACTTGATCCGCTCTAGATACCAGCTGCATCACCGGGCCCCGCCTGTTGATGGGTGACCCGATGGCAGGCAGAAGCCAGGGGAGGCTGTGTGTTTGCGAAGCAAAGTGCTTCCCTCAGCAGTTCAGCTCTCTCGGTGGCATCTCACTGTGGAGTGCCAGTAATTTAGATGCAGATGCGCAAGAGCGGACAGTACCTTCCACTCTCCTCTCTATGGGCTGCTTCCTAAATTAAAAGCTGGGGGTGAGCACAGAGGATATTCTATTAAGTCAGAATGTTCTTTTTAAATGTTCGAGTCTGTGGTAGGATTTTCTCTTCACTCGGCCAAGTGGTGTTTTATGAGAGTTAGCAGGATTCCTCCCCTGGTGGGCGAAAGTGTTGCACTTTCCAGCTATGAGCGTGCAACCCGCTTCCCTAGAGAAGCCTGGGCATCTGGAGGGGCCGCTCGTTGCGCTGAGCAGCTGAGGAAACAGCACAGCCCCACGCACCAAATGCTCTGTGAGCCATAAGCCTGACAAAACACAGGTGGATTTCAGCTTTATGGGGTATGCAGGTATTCCTTGGGCAGAACTAAAAACAAACAAGCCCTTCCGCTGTACCTTCGATGGAAGGGAAGTGGCTATCTATGTGAAACAAAGCTTAAAGATGAAAGCTGTGTGGTGTCCTGTGTGTATGCGGATGGCTAAACCTTGGGAACATACGATGACGAGAGAAATGGGCAAGAGACAGAGATTTAATTGAATAAAAACTCCAGGCTGTGACAGGGGTGGGAGACATGAAGCGGTAATTAACAACAATTTTTTAAATGATGTTGCAATTAATTAATATCCTGAGTATGCGAAGGAAGGGGGCGGCATTTTTCAGCCCAGAAAAACTGCTAAATAAAGAAGGGAACTTTGCATTTTTTAAAAAACATCAATATGCAAAAGGCCCAGGTTATCATGACTTCAGAAAAGCTCAAAACACCAACCCCAGAAAGGTTTCTCGCGGCAGAGAAGCTAACAAATGAATCGACTTTGTATTTCATTTTATTCTGAAATTTGTAATTCATTTTATTCTCATCTTCGAGGAAGAGGTATTGGGCTAGATAATGAAGTTGGCAGACATTCAGGTTCATTCATGCTTTGGGTTGAGGACTGGTCCCCCCAGAAGACACTGGGGGTGGGGTTCCTGGAGCCGAGAGCTTCCCTGGGGTAGGCTTCCCAGCCTGTAGAAATTTACCAAGACTGCTGTAATGGGAGCAGTGGCAGTTGGGTAGGTGGTGTGGGGCTGACCATAATCTGCTCAGGAAATGATTTCCCAAAACCACTGGGAGGTTCACTCTGTGTGAGTTAGCTGCTTGGACATAAAAGGAATGTCTGAGAGCAGTAACTATTCCATGAGATTCACACCGATCATACTCCCTCCTCCAAAAGAGTCGAGTGGTCATCCTCATGTGTCTAGGGGTATGAAGATGGCAGCTGGATATGAGTTTTGAGATCACTTCTGGAAACGCCCTCTCACACTCATTTCTGGGCTGCTCATGACCCAGGAAACTCAACTGTCCCCTTCCTAGTTGCAGGACCCACGACATCTGCTCAGTGATCGAGCTGGCTGTGTTGTTGACGGGGTCAGTCTAGAGTCAAGAGACAGAATGAAGTTTATGGCCTGCTCTGAGTCTTGCCATGACTTTGGGTTTTTTCCCCCACTCTCAGCTGCAGTACTGCCTGACTAGGATGGCCTATCAATCGTAAGACATTTGGAGAGAAAACTTATCTTTATACCAATGACACATTAGCTCCTAGCCTAAGGCTCAGTACCGAGTGGAGTTTGGTTTATCTGCCCTTACTTTTCTAAGCTGAAAACATCTCTGGCCACAATATCCTGGTCATCCTCATGCCCATCTGAACTTTGGGTAGAAGACACTGCCTAAAGTTATATCAGCAGAGAAACCTGATAACTTGGCTTAAGGTGAGGGTTACTTTATTGAGTTTCTGCTCCTGAAGCATGTGACATATATAAAGAGTAAGACACAAGGTGTGTGAATAGCTTTTCCCTTCTTGACCTTCCATTGGTGGAAGAAGGTGTTCTTCAGCAGACTTGCCTCTTGCAAGTCACACACACAACTCTGGAAGTTGGCATTGTGTAGTCACAGATAAAGTAGAAACTCACCTCCACGAATTTACCAGGGCTATACAGACTGAGATTGAGCAAATCAACTGAGTTATAGGTGGTTGGTGGGAAGACCAATATGAACTCAACAGAAACATACTATTACAATACAGAAGAGTTGAAACATGTTTTTTTCCTAAACTGAATTTGGCCTAAGGTAGAGATCTAAAGGGAAAAAACCCCAAAAAACCTTCACTACCACTGAAACAAACACTGAAGTACTTAGTAATCTATAGAACTAAAGTTTAAGATGGATATTGTCCCAGAGTCAGGGGGGCTGAAATAGGCTTAAGCTGACTTTGTTTCAATCAAGAAGATTCTCGTCACGGAAAGATGGATTCCAGCTATGACTTGGATTAAAACTCCCCATTCCCCAAAGAACGTTTTATCTAGGTGTTTCTTTGACCTAATTAGGCATTTTCAACAGTTGCTTGATACTTCATGGGATTAATAAAGCTACGCATAACACCGAAGTCATTCTGGAACACGTGTGCCTTCTCTTCTTTACAACGAAGGTTATTTTTGAGAACAAAGATCCCGTATTCAAACAAATGTGGTCGTTAACTGTGGTGTGCCAGAAAACATACAGCATGTTTAGTTTCAGCAGAACCATTCCTAAAGAAAGGGACTAAGTTCCCACGAGGGATCAAGACATTTTCAGATGATGAGGAAAGTCAACAAGGAAAGGGGGGCGGGGAGGAGCCCTGCACGACCTGCGGAAGGTGCGAGGATACCTCGGAGCACTCGTGATTTCACCGTAGGACCAGGAGCCTACACTTCGGTCTGTGTCACAGCGGCGAAGAGCTTCCGAGGGTCACAGCGCGCCTTGTAAAGGCTCTTGGCCCGATTTGCATCTTTCTGCAGGCCACTGCAGACGCAGCCATGGCTCCATCCCATGTCCTTCTTCTACAGGCTTGTGGAGCTTGGTGGGGACACAACACTGCAGGAACTCAAACCACGTCCCCCGGGAAAGACAACTATTTTACATTGTATTTCATATGAACCAGCTTCTGGGCTCTCCACTCTTCTTTCTCTCCTACTCTTCCCCCCTTCCCTTCTTGGCAGCCGATCCATAAAAAGTGAAAACCACAGAAAACATCACCTTGGGAGACAAGAAAGACTAAGACAGGTCTGGCCACACGACAAGGGTCTTGGCCTTGACCTACACAGGAGCGGTTAAGACTCGTGCTACGGCCACCGCTGCCCCTGCGCAACACTGTTTGGACGGTGGGACGAGTGCAAAAAGAACATCGCTGAGTCCCGTTGGTGGCGCCCGGCCGCGCGGCTCATGGTGTGGGAGGTGGTTTCGGAGACGGGCACGAGCTCTCGCTGTCAAAGCTGGCAGCCCGGCCCTGCCACTGCGGAGAGGGGAGAAGGGGGGTTATCAATGGCCAAGGGGACTTGCATTTCAACTTTCAGAACTTCTCCGGCCCATGCACTGAATTCACCTTTCCCGGCTTTTCATAAGCTCACTTGAATTTTGCTGTCAGCCATGCAAAAACAGAAGGAAAAGAGCTGTAGAGCTTCTAGTTTGGGATACCTGATTAAAAAAAAAAAAGACCTACTGCAGAGATAATGAAAGCTTTCTCCACTATGTGCAGTGTGTGTGTGTGTCTGTGTGTGTGTGTTAATGAGGTGCTATGATTGGACCATTTCTGAGTGCTTCAGCCATTTTTCACGCTGAAAATCGGCTTATGTTAGCAGGGAAAGAGGCAGTCTACAGAGTGTGCCCTTATTGCCAAGAACCCACGATCATGAATTATTAGCAATTGTCTGGGAGCTGTTAGTACAGCTACAAACCTGATACTGCTTTAGCGTCCGGCTCTCTTTCTCAGGCTTAATGCTTCATGGGGGCATTCATGCCCACCTTGTGAGGATGTGGGGGTGTGAGGCAGGCAGCCCCTTCCCCTTTCCGGAGCATCCCCTGCCTTCTCCCACCTCACAGGTCGTCCCGTCAGCCCCACCCTGACCCTTCTGTTGAGATGGGTGTTGCAATGAGGCATAACGGAGCAAAGGAGAGGGCTGAGGATGGGTGGGTGCCCACACCTGAGCCATTCGCCCCTTCCTTAGACTGAAAAGCCAGTCATGCTGGAGCACTGTGTTCTGGACAAAGATCTGACCCCGGGAATATTCTTGACCCATCTTGGAGCCATGTAACTTCAAAGTGAGACATTGTCCACTGCTCATTCCATCCTTCTTGGGAGCTGAGGAGACCCAAACCTCTCCCAGGTATCCGTGGGACAGGGCTCTGGAGGGAGTCAAGGAGGTGGTCAAGGTGGCCTTTCTGAGCCAAAGTACAGCTTCCTCTGTGCCTCCTGAGCTCCGGGGGTCTCCATTATGGAATGATGGACTGAGTAGAAGCTGCCCTACGCATTTGTGCATGAATGGGGGCGGGAGGGGGAAGGATGCCGTGCTCCCCACAACACAGACAGAGCTGAACCACCTAAGGAGTAGACCATTTGTCAGCCAGCGTTTCCTACTGGAAACCCACAGTGCTGAGGAGAGACCCAGACCTGTGGAACATTTCCACACTCCCACTTCTACAGAAAGCCTCTGTCAACTTCCCTGGGCTCAGTCCCTTAGTGTCCCTGTGCAGGCCAACCAGCAGATCTTTACAACTAACCCAACGCTGGACCACCAGGTATGGATGAGCACCAGTAGGTGCCCTAGGCCAGAACAATCTCAGCATGCTGGACCTGGGGGCAGTCCCAGGGCATCATCCAGTCAACTCTCTAGTTCTTGCCCATAACAAAACCAAGAAACAGAGAAGTCAAGACACAACTGGTTAGGGGCAGAGCCAGGATGTGAAACCAGGTCTCTTGACTCCCAACTCACTGCTCCTTCCGCTCCATCCTGCTGCCACCTTAGCATCCGGCCACGGCAAGGGGAGAAGGAGACACACAGTGTAAGAGGAAGCCTAACCTCTTCGGGTCCACACCGGGTACTTACTCCTAACTCCAGGTGGCAGTCTCTCTGCGTGCAGCGTCCACGTGAATGAAATCACAACCGAGGGTTTCCCTGGTGAAATATTTTAAATAAATAAGTGCCTGGTTGTTGAGCCCACTGTGACTTCTGACTCAAGTGCTTCTTAACCGGAAGGTGACACAAGATGATCACCAATGTTCTCATTCAACACACCTTTGTTTTAGGGATTCCACTTTTTCTGCGCCAGCCTGTAGTGTTGGTGAAAGGTACATGTAATTACTGGCTTCTCCCCTGGGTAAGCATGCCACTTAAACAATCTGACTGATAGGCCAGTGCGGAGGAGAAAAAGCGAGATGGCCACACAGAGTACCTCTCCCTTCTTTATATAATAGCCCAAGTCACGCGGAGCGTAATTGCTAATCCAGGACACATGAGGAAGGCACACTGGCTTCCCTGGCAGTCCCTGATTGTTTCTGTGAAGATAAACAGAGGAGGGAAAGGGGTTTCGTGGACAATGGGATGGTGACTGATTCCAGCAGGCTTATCATGGTGGCTCTGAAATCCCAAAGACCGGCCCTCCCTGGCACCCAGGAAGGTGATTGTTCCAGGACGTCTGTGTTCCAGTAAGACCTTCTGTTGTTCTGCGATGGGTCACGCTCAGAGATCTGAAATCTCTGGAAGCTGATCTCCACTTGGCCCTTCCTGATAGAACGCCTTTGGAGAAGGCTGCTGGTCGGCCTCGGCTCTGGGTGGGTGACAGCAATGACAGGCGGCCCCGGGCAGGGGTGCTCAGAGGGAAGGGGACCACTGCCGCTGCTGCCGGAAAGGATGCTCGCTGGGGCTTGATCAGTTTCTACTCGCGAAAACATCCCAGCAGGGAAAAATACCTTTTCAGTTCATTTGTTCCCCTCAACCTTATTTTAAAACCCCAAACAAGCGAGCAAGTAGGGTGCCCTCTGTTCTCATTAATAAAAAAGAAATGATCACAGCACTCGAAACTCCTCGAAGAAAGGTACAACTTACATAGAGAGTGCTGTATAGATGCGATGCCGTTTATCTTCCCGGGAGCGGGAGAGTGAGATTTCTTTATGTAGGATACAAATGGGGGAAATAAGTTCTAGGAGCAAGGTTCTTGCTCGATGTCCAGAACAAAAGCGAGGAGGCAAGATGGGAGCTCTAAGGGTGATTGAGGTGATAGATGTTCGAGTGCAATGCATCACTTGAGCCCACAGAGGGTTTACTTTGTATCTGCCTGGTAGGTTTTTAGATGCAGTTTTATGAGGATACTTAAACTGTGGGTGCTAAAAGTGTAGGTGAAATCCTAGGTTGCCAAGATGAATGTCATTTTCAGCTTCTTCATACAGAAAAATGGTCAGCTGGGCAGAAAATGGTAGCATAATGAGAGGGGGAGGGGCAGGCTCGGGAGCTTGATGTGCGAGGTCAAGAAAAAAGTAAACCCAAAGGACATGAATCAATTTATTCTCTTTTCGTTTTCCATATACTGTTACTTTCCCTTTACTGTCTCATCAAATATTCATTTTCAAGGGCTTGATTCTACTTTATCTTTCTTTCTTTTGTAGTCTGGACTAGTGAGTCAGAGTTTTCAAAGGAATAGGACTCGAAATCAATTATTTGGCTTAATTAGGTTGTATTCATCACGGAGTGATTCTGGAACCGAGCGCTGGCACCTCTGTGCTCCCTGCACCCACCCCCAACTCCAGCCGCCCCTGGCCGGTAGCTTCAGTTTGTGTGGACAGAGTGGCCCAGTTACATGGGGAGGGTTATCTCCCTGAGCTGGTAACACATGAGGGCTCACTGGCTCCACCCGTCATCATTTAGGGTCAGAGTTTCCTAGAAAAGCAGAGATGACGGAACCGACACCCCCTCATTTACCAACCAGGAAACTGGAGACCAGAGGGGGCAGTGAGTTGCCTGAAGCCTTGTAGCCCATCGGGGCCACTTATCTTACATGTCCCTGCCCCTAAACCATCCTGAACATTTTAGTATGCTTGCTTATTCTACTCTTAAATATCTCCAAGGGATTTAAGAGGGGATAGGGGGCGTGGCACCCTCCCTTGGTTGAATCAAGCCTGCATTCAGTGAGGTGCCAGGTGCGGTCCCCAGGTCATCCTCAGTTCCGTCCAGGAGCTGCCTCCTGTGGAGGCAGAGGCTCGTTGTGGGTACCTCACCCACACCCTGCAGAGAGAGCTTTCTGCATAAGAGGGGGCAGAGGCTCCCCTGGGGGAAGGGAGCCAGAGAGCTGAGGGACCGTCATTCAAGCTTCACAGCTGTGGTAAAATCAAGGCAACCACAAGATAGAAACAGGAGGCTTCCGATGAACAGGAACTTTGTGTCTATGCCTTACTTCTCATGCTTGGCCTCGAAGGCATGCCCACTCAGTAGGTAAATCAATTAGCCTGCCTCCCGGAACCCTCTCTCCCCCACAGCCCTCAGTCTCTCCTAAGACACCTCACAGTGCTGGAAGCAGGGAGAAACAGGCCTGGTCACACCAAGAAGAGAAGGGAGAGCTGACAGGTCCTCTGGCATTGTTGCCCACATCTTTCCTGTGTCCCAGAGCCCGAAGAAGGGATTACAGTTGACCCCTGAACAACATTGGGATTAGGGGCACAAAGATCCGATATGACTTTGACTCTCCCAAAACTTAACTACTAATCACCTACTGTTGACCGGAAGCCTTACCGATAACATAAACAGTCAATGAACACATATTTTGTATGTTATGGGAATTCTATACTGCATTCTTACAATAAAGCGAGAGAAAAGAAAATGTTATAAGAAAGTCATAAGGGAGAGAAAATACATTTACAGTGCTGTGCTGTATTTATTTAAAAAAAAAATCCACACACAAGTGGACCCACACAATTTGGACTGTGTTGTTCAAAGGTCAACCGTACTCTGTTTTTAAGGTGACTGCTTTTAGGCTGAGGGGCCATGTGGTGTAAGGATGAAAGCTTTATTTATTTATTTTTTATCAGTAGATTTTCCAATTTTAGACTCTAGACTTCCTAGGCTTGAAGCCTAGGATGAACAAACAACCACCTGGCTTTTTAGGATCTGGACTGGGGTATGAGAGCCTCAAAATGAGGTTTCAAGCTTGCCTGGCTACCCCACATCCCAGCCCCTTGGAGAAAAAGCAGGCCTGGGAGCCACCAGGATGATAATTTGAAGGATCTCACGTTGGTGGAGTTTGGTGGAGGGGACCTGACTGTCAGTATCACTGGAAGGGACATTTTCTTTGCCGTTGAGAGAAATGACTGGCCCAAGATTATACAGCAAGTCCGAAGGGGCCCAGATTGGAGCCCAAGCCTCAGGCCTCCTCCGCAGTGCTCCATGTGTTACGTCTCTGTTGGGATCCTGTCAGAGAGCGTGATACCTCGAAGCCATTCTCTCTCCAGCAATGGGAGAAGCAGCATTCATGGCTGCAGGGTCTTGTGTCTGGCCACCTGCATGGAGCCCATGAAGACTGCCTTGGGACTGCCTGGCTAGAGCCTCAGGGAACATAGTGATTCGACAGGGGTAGAATTTCTTGCCAAGTTCTGATCTCACCCTCTTGGGGCTTTCTCCCCGAGGACCGACTTGGCCCGGGGGTGGGGGGAGCTCTCTGAAAGCATTCCGGGCCTGGCACCATGGAGACGCTGGGCAGGCTTCCTCCGAGTTTTAATTTTCTATTTAGAACTCAGTGTCACTTTCAATATGCTCGACATCCGAGGCTTTCTGTCAGGCAGCTTCCCCCTGTCCTCCTCCATCTCCCTCCTGCTGCTTATACACTGGGCGAGAAGCATGGAGCCCCTACGCACCCTGGGAAGGACCCACGCAGGCGAGGTCACACAGCTGCCGACTGCCATTCTCCAGCCCGAGCGGCCATGCAGCAAACATGCCAAGGGCCGAGCACGACCTCACCCACCTCTTTGAAGGATTTCTTTACCTCCACCAAGGAGTGCCAGTGTGCGATGGGCTTCCGTGGGTACGCCAGCATCTCGTTCCAGTGGTCCCGGCCCAGGCCTTCAGCGTTGATCCCCACGCGGCAGACTCCTATGATCTCATTGTGGCCCACTCTGGGGGAGAAACAAAGGCCCCAGAGCTGCTACTGACCAGACATGCTGTCAGAGGGGGAAGGGTCCTGGAGTCTGGGATTCTGCCCGGCAGGTCTAACTCAGAATGCTGAGCTCTGAAAAGAGATGCTTGGCAGGGCCTCAGAGTGCCAGTGACAGTGAAACTTTGCCCAGCCTCCTTGGGTGGACATGGACTCAGACAGATGACAAAAAGATTATAAACCACTTTGGAATCTCAGGAAATGGTGGGCAGATGGCCTGACTTTGGGCAAAGGGAGAGTTTCAGTCTTTACCCTTCTTTGACTCAGCTAGCACATCATACCCTCGCTCAAGACATCGGCATTTGGAAATAAATTACCCTGCTCTAAGCACCACTTCTCCACACTCCCAACGGCTAGAATGTGATTTATTCACTCAGAAAGAACATCAGTCATCACCGAAATATGTTCAGTGAGCACCTACTATGCCTGAGAACTTGTGCTAAAAATCCTGGCTAGGGGCTTTACTGCATATTTGTTTGTTTGTTTCTCCTTCAGCTGGAGTGACAACTGGATAGAAGGAGTCATGGTGGCTGGGGGTGGGGAGTGGGGGCATTGGAAAGCGTTTTTGAGGGCGCCTGGGTGGCTCAGATGGTTAAGCGTCTGCCTTCGGCTCAGGTCATGATCCCGGGGTCCTGGGATCGAGTCCCGCATCAGTCTCCCTGCTAGGCGGGAAGCCGGCTTCTCCCTCTCCCCCTCCCCCTACTTGTGTTCCCTCTCTTGCTGGGTCTCTCTCTATCAAATGAATAAATAAAATCTTAAAAAAAAAAATCAAGTAACATTCAAGTGTCTTCATGATTTGGCTTTGCCAGTCATTCTGCTTCAAGTGCCCTAGCACAGACCATTCTGTCCTAAGTGCCTAAGCTCCATATAATCTTCACCTAAGTCTACGAGAGGGGCGCTCTTACTGTCCCCATTCCCCACATGGTTCCCTCCTCCTGGGTTGCCTGCTCTCACTCCCCTGGTCTGACTGGGGGTCCCCATTGCCCCTGGGTTGAAAGATCAAGTGTTACAAATGCTTTGAAGCAAAGGCGGGGCGTTTCTGAGGCTCAATCAGCAGGTTCTAGTGATCCGCTGGATGATGGGGCTGCAGGGGAGGAGAGCAGAGACTGACACCCTGCCCGCCCAGCGCCCCCAGGCTGGCTCCGCTCTCTGCTGGGAGTGCATCCAAGGGGTGGGTGTGCTCCTTCCCCGGCTGCTTCCAGGACTCCCACTGTGAGCCCGGGGGGGGG